TAACATACGCTAACGATTTAGCTACACGTAACTCATCCACAACTTCGAGCTCAAATTGCTCAACACAGCTACACTTCCACGCTAGCATCGTGCGAAATGATCTCACATACGTCGATAGCACCCAGCATCTCTGGAGATACAGACTAAAAACGTACGACACGGGTTATCCATTCTTTGGCCATCAATCCGAACGTATTCCCCGCGCAACTTGCAAACAAACAGGCAGCTACTAACGCACTGTGGCTCACTCGGCGAGGCGTGTGGCTCGCAGGGAGATTGGGCGGTGGGCGTGCGTTGCGTGGGGGCATACGCAGCTGTATGCCGGTATGTAGCTGTGTGCCGGCGTCAAAGGTTATCTCGCCGAGTGTGCGCTCGATGTCCAATCTCCAGCGAGCCGCACACCGCCTTGCCGGAGTGAGCCACAGTGGCGTTAGTATGGCCACCCTGTCGTATGTTGATCCTGTCGTGCAGTGTGCTGTGTTTTGCTTAATTGTTCAATGAATGACGCACGTCGTTACACTTCCGACAGCCGGAGTGAAAATGCGAAAATTTCCTCTTCGATGCGAATGCATCAGCCGGGCATTCCATTATTTACGAAAAGTATCAAGGCTGGGGAACGACACTAGGTGCAGGAACTGGTAACGTCGTCACGCCCATTCATGTCCATCAAAGAAGAAGGCGTGGCATATTCTGATTACGGAGATGGAAAAACTGCAACACGAAGGACCTAGCGCGGTGCGCTAAACAGCGTGTTATTTTCGTATTTGTGCCAAACTCTATCCTAGGAAACCGTTCTAGCCTAGCAGAATGCCCTAGTTCCTGAGATCGGCGATTGGTGCTCTAATGGTATTATTAGATAATTAATAATAGAGAGGTGGGCGGTATAGACTGGTGATTGAAGACACAAAAGTGTCAATCCTCGGCGCGCCTCGGCATCATGGCCGCATCACGTCTAGTGACTCTAGACAAAGACAGGAAAGTAGCTATGCCATATATAATATTGTTTGTTTTGCCCTCACCTGACCAACCGCGCCAAAAAGGGGCTGACTCAAAAATTTCATTGATATTTCCCATTCTTTTTTACAAATTGTATCACTGTACATTATATAAATCTGTAGGCAACATTCTATAGTACCAAGCAAAATAAACATTCAACATAAAAGCTATCTCCACACAAGCACACCGAGCATTTAGACACCATGCTGCAATATATAAAAGACCCCCCTCAAAAAAGCCTACCTACCTATCCAAACCTTTCAGGCCTGGGTTCGGGTGAGGGCAAACACAAGTTTATTTAATTGTAACCGCTAGGCATTTCCCGCATTGGCTTGGGGACAACTTACATACATGCATAACGAACAGAAAGCTCCAAAAAGCTCTGTGAGGTGGTAAATTTTGGGGTGTGTTTGCGCATTTCGAGGTTAATTGTAGCAAAGCCAGCACCGACTGCCTCGGCAAAATGTTTGAAAAAATGGTGCAATTGGGTGCATCTAAGCTTTTATTTCGAATTTAGTTCAATAAAGTGTAGTTTATTGATGGAA